TAGATTATTGCACATGGTTCATTGGCAGGCTTTGGTAATCAGGCTACAACCTGGGGGGGACAAACAATGAAGGCCCATTTGACTGAGTACCCCGCAAGGCTCGCGTAACACCGCGCAGACTCTGGCAAGTTGCTCTTCGTGCATATCAACAGCAAGATAGCCAGTTGGAAATGTGCACACTTACTTACAGAAGGTACTGGAGGCTGACAGTTCCTCTGCAGGTCTGCCAACTCGCCCGGTAGAATACGCTCGCAAGCACATTGGACAACGCCCCTGCCTGGCGCATGCGCGCGGATCACTGATGCTGAGTAAGCAGCAAATGGCGTTGTTCAGGTCGACCAGGGAAGAGCTCCATGATCTACCGTAGTGACTAGCGGCAAGAAAGAAACGATCGCTTGATGTCCGTGCACACCTCCGGCGAAATTGGAGACCTTCAGTGAAAAAATCAGTGCTTGAACTGGAACTGGTAAGGAGATAGCGGGTTTAAAGAAGAAGAAGAAGAAGATGAAGAATATGATGACACGAAAATCGTGAAATCGCGTATGAGCGAATTCTCGCGTGGACGACTGAAGGTGCGTATGAGCTCTTGGGGGACATGTATAGGTAGATATGGGCCCGTAGACTATTGCTAGTATGTTTTGAAGGCCTAGGAAGTGATTCTCACCGAGTTTTTAGTCGTTTTGTACGCGGATCACGTGAGATTTCACTCGCGTCATCCCTATATAGAGAGTCTACCGACTCTCTAATACCAGACACTCAAAATATGCAAGAAAACAAAACCATGAGCCTGCAAGGAGTTGAAGATGGTGAAGAGCCAGGCAAACACTGCAGTGTTTTCATTGACAGCCAGCAGTCCAAACACCCAGGTCATTCCCAGCAGTGGCAGTAGAATGATTGTGGCTTTCAGAATGTTCCTATGTTGTATTCATGAAACAATTTACAATGCAAACTTACTTGATAACATAATATGTTATGTTATCATTTTTCTTTTCCTTCATTTTTGAGTGATTGTTACCCCCTTTGTTTCATACAGTTTCCTCAAAACCAGGAAAAGGAACACAGTGTTGGTACTAACAAAACATACTCTCCGATGATAAAATGCAGACTTCCCCTTAACATGAACATACCAGTATGATAGCAATGACTGGAGAAACAAATGTCCATATAGCATTAGTCCCACCACCAGAGGAAAGCCAGCAACTAGAACAAACAAGCACACCCTTATTTATAGAGGTAACCAGGTTAAGAAGCCAGCGGCTCAACATTTACATGCTTACATTACTCACTATTGCAACTTTCCAGTAGTGTCTTTGACACCATACTCATTATAGAAAGCTCCAAGTCCAATTGTAACAAAAGGTACAGGAATACCTAAGTACAAATAAGATGTATAGCATGTTTACCCACATTGCAGCCAGAAGAAACGTACCCCAACCTAACAGCAGAAAGAACCACCACTTGTTCTTTAGTTTTGAGAATACCTTTACCAGCATGAGGTAGATAATGAACTCCCTCGCACAGCATCCAGGAGAATGCTGACAGGACAGTCACTGCCTTACAACTAATCTGCAGGAATTTTTAAACAAGTCCCTCAACAGCACAGTTACAAAGGGCAAACCATGTTTTTAGCAGCAAGCTCAACTCCAAGAGCAAACACCAGATATCCAGCCAACAGTGATATGGCCAGGTTGAGGTGGACAAAGTTATATACAACTGTAAACAACTTCCTTCTATAAGCACAACAAACACTTTAACACAAGTTTCATTATTCTGAAAACCTACTATTGACAAAGTAAGAAGATGGTGGTCAAAACTAGACAGATAATAGATACAGACAGACCAATGTATGACACCACCGAAAGTTCCTTGGATTCTATCTGCATTAAAAGAGCAACATGTTTCTCAGTACAATTAAGCATGTTTTTATTCACCTTCACTCCCCTGACATCCACCAGAACAGCAAAACTGGTGAGATGGGTACTGGAGCACTGGACGGTAGATTGGTCTCCACTGACTGTCTGTAGTCACATTCTCCACTGACCAACCACCGTTGATAAGGCTGAAAAGAACAAAGGGAAAGTTAAAAGACCTTCTGTATTTTGGAATGACTGTAATTGTCAGGATCATTTAGAAAGTCCCAAAAGACACACTGGAAAATGTTTTCCTCCACAGCGTCTCTCTGAAACATTCGATGATGAGAATGTATTAAATTATGTAGCTATTGTGCTTACAAAAGGTACGGTTGGAAACTGGAAGAGTACGTATTTCAATAGCTCCTTTTCTGGAACTTGTATATAGTAACCGTTGCTTTTTCCACTACTACTTGGGTGGAGATGGCAAGAGATTCTAGCTCTCTGAATTGGCAACACAAATACAAACAAGGCCAAAATTTTTCCTTGCACAAGACTAATACGCAAGAACCACTAAATGCGTTATCATACCTGCTTCCTGTACTTGGAGGAAGAAACATTTGAAGTGTTGTGAAGAGCACACTAGATACTGTAACTGATGTTGAACCTTCACCTAAACACACCCAAAGGTAGCTTGAGCTATGCAACTGCAAGACCATAATAGCAGACAGCCATCTGATCATTATTTTTACCAGCCAGGAATAAAGAAGTGAGAGAGATGTTGGCTAGAGTATTCTCAGGAAGGGGAAGGTTCCTGATCTCCTCTGGACTGGGAAATGAATACTGAATGTCCTCATCTACAGCAATACTCTGGATCCTCATGCATGACTGGGGGACACACAGGACCCATAAAGTTACGTATTAGGCTAGTGCTACAGTATCAGCACCTGTGTTTTTTCCAGCCAATGTGACAAGTTGGCCAGGTCCATCTCCGGCCAGTACTCGAGCAGCAAACAGTCCAAAAGACTCGGCATTCCTCAGGACAGCCTGACTGCCCACTCCAACCTCCTGTAGGCTGTCAAAACTTGCCTGGTTGCTCTCTGACAGAATGTTGTCCAGAGCTTCAAATATTACTGTGGCCTCTGTAGTGATTATTTCAAAAATGTATACAGTGAGACATACCTCTGATAATGCCAGATTGGTCTTGTTCTGTCCTGTAGTAGTGTCCAAATCACTGAGGAGAAGATTTAGAGTTTCTCTGATGATTTCATTGGTATTGTTCAGATCACGTGGTAATAGAGGGGTTCCTTCATCTGCTGTAGCTTCCACTAATTCCCCAACAACTTCAAGCGCTACCTCAGTATCCTCACTCTCTACAGCCTTATAAGCCTAGACAGAGCATATAATATCTTAATAGATTGTTCAAATGGATACTGCTCTCACCCTTTCCATGATGTCAACAAACAACCGACTCTGACAGTTGGTGATATTAGGCTCAGCCCATATCATGTTTAACCGACACAATCGAGTTGCATTACCTGGAAGTTAAAATAGGGGTGAGCATCTTACACCCAATATACCTTTATACCATCTTGAATTTACCAACAAAATAGACCCACAAGAAACAGTTGCAGTAACGCCTGCTGGAGTGAATGGCCACAATATATTCCAATTTTCATCTCTATCCTCAGGGCGCAAAAAAAAATGGCTATGTCTCTCCATCAAACATCAAAATAAATACCTGTTTCATCTCCTACACAAGGTGAGGTGTCACTCTGATCATGATTTGGGGCAAAGGGACAGGTGTCCTCACGGCAGTACGTCTGCTTGTCACAAGTGGAGCAAGTCTTCAGAGCTCTGTCTGGGTAGCCATCTCCATCACACACAGTGACCCATTTCCAACATAGGGAGATGAACACTGTGTATGTGAGTGTTTGTTCATATCCCTCCAGAAAGCTTCATTAGTTTGTACCTGACACTCTTGGAATGTTTGGCAATCACATGGGCTAGCAGTTGTGCCATTACATAGTTTTTGGATGTTAACCATCTCAGGGCACTCTTCAGGTATCCCTGATTCCACATCACTTATGTTTAATACCTTCACTTGCCTGCACTCACACATATGTAAAATTTTAGGCATGAGGAAAGTAGCTCCCTACTCACTCCCAGACCGAGTATCACACTTCCCTCACCCTCCCTGGTCTCCACTGTCACATTCTGCTATAGCGGGAATGGCACACATGATAGCATGTATACTCATTCATTTTAAGTTTTTGTGGTAACTTGCCAGTAGGTCAGTTAACTAAAGATAAAATGTGATTGCTTTTGTGGAGTTCAACAATAATGTGGGCCTACATGGGCCCATGATATGCTAGATGCTACATGAGACTTCATTCGGTGCTTGCAATCTTTAGAGTTACCTGATCTCATGACAGCCACAACATCTATTAGAGTTAATGGTGAAGTTATGGTCACTGCAGAACACACTCTCCAGTTGTCCAGCCAGTGCCAGTTCTGCAGTGGTGTAGGACACCTTCCATACTAGCAGAGAGTACTGCTTGCCCAGAGTCTGAGGCAGTGTTGTGAGAGATGGAGGCTGATTCGAGTGGTCCTTATAAACTGTAACATGAGTATAGAGTTGACCAGTAATAAAAGATCTCGCTAACCCACCATCCTTGTTCTCAAGGCCAGGCCTCCCATTATGCCTTGGTCATGCTAGCTGACCTCTCTAATGATGCTGCCCTACACTTTCTACCTATTTTCATATATGTATTTTTTTTTACCATTTGTAGTTGTATCTACACGACCCCTTTTCTTTCATAAACAAGCACAATGACTCACCTCATCATGGAGGTTTGAAATTGAAGACTGATCAACAGTAATGATGGCTTGTAGTGAGATGATGACGAGGACTTGGTGCTCACCAGAAGACAGAACACAACCCGAGAAATCAACTGATGTCCATCTCCTGTTTGACAAACACCTCCTGTACACCTTCACTACTGGACTAGAGGGATTACAGGTGACAAGTGTATAAAAGCCAGACCTTAGTTTTAGATACATTACACAGTACACGGGGCTTAACTTCCACAATTCACAAACATTTTGACATACTTAAACCTTTCATCAACCTCTCTGCATGGCAACTACATCTCCCTCAAAAGCATCCTTCCAGAATAGACCAGCTGAAAAATCTTCCAGACACTCTGGAGCAACAGTAATATGTGAATGGTGATTCACAGCCATTATAATTGTTCTTACTCTCTTGCATTATTCCAGGCCCCTCAGGCTTATTGCAAAACCATGTTTAATGCTTAGTAGCCAAGTGTCATCTACACTTTACAAAAAATGTTTTATTGTCGGTTAGTTGGGTCATACCTTGTACTACAACAAATGCTGGTGGGATGAATGTCACATTACCAGACTCCTTTACAGGTATACTCTCCATTATCAGAATAATCTACACTTTTAACAAGAGCACTGCAATTAGTAAGCCTCTGGTCTGGTAAAGCATGTGAATCAATGAATTTTGAAGTGATGAGAGAGTTGTTGTGGTACAACTCTATGTTAAATTTAATTCTTCAGTTCTAGTGACATTCAAATCCACTGCAAGCACAAGTAGAATTGAAGTAACTGAAAAGCAAAAACAGATTCAAGTAACATGACTGCAAAGTAATACTACTTACAATAAACTGTCAAATTTGCTTCATCACGGCCAGCACTGTTCTTCACTCTACAGCGATAGACAGTATCATCCACTTGTGTCACATTAATTTTCAAGTGTGAGTCACTCTGCAGATTGGTAACTTGTCCATCAGTTGCAACAGCACTCCAGGTGAGCTGATTGTCTGGACCTCCCTCAGCATGTACAGTTTGCAGTGAGTGTGTCATTCAGACTGACATTGATTGACTACTGATGGAGTCACCTTAACACTTCCCTCTGGAGAGATTGCAGAGATTCACGCAATAACTAATCTATGTGTTCTATGACACATGATAATGAAGACCTTGACAAGGCAGAGTGGTTGCATGATATTCAAAATAGGATTGCTCCTTGAAGGGCTTTTTGTCTATAATAGGGGACAGTATTAATGAGAGGGAGATTAGAAAGTTTGAAGAGGGGCTAAATAGCAAAGTAAAGCTGTTATTGTATAAGACATTTAACAAGGTGGTAGATTTCAAAAAGTACTTGCATGGGAAAAGTGATGCTGGGTCTAGATTAATGTTTAAGTTCAGGTCAGGCACGCATGGGCTAAATGAGGAACTGGGCAGGCATAGGGGGAGGGAGGGGGTGAAAGAGTGCCTGTTGTGTGATGATGAGTGTGAAAGTGTGAGTCATGTGTTGTGGGAGTGTCCAGCATATAGTAGTCTTAGGAGCAATTTCTTAGTTGCCCTTCAGGGGAAGCTTGGGGATGATGGGTTTGAGCATTTCCAGTCGCTTGATAGTTTCAGGAAAGCATCCTTTATATTGGGTAGTGAACTGTGGGAGGATAATTTTGGTTCTTTGCTTGGCCTTGTTAAAGATTTTATTTTGGATGTTTGGGAGCTAAGAAAGGTTAGGTTATACGGCGATAGTCCCTGTGTACAACAAGCCCAGTCTCAGATTGCGTCTGGGGAGCTGCAGGGTGTCACTGGTGGAAGGGGTGAGTTTAGGTGTCTGGGAGGTGAGACAGACACCTCATGTTCATATGGTGTATGTTCGTGTGTTAACGGTTCCGCCCATTTCTCTGGGTGCGTGGTCTATGGCCCTAGTGCTATGGCAGCCACCTGAGTATTATTATTATTATTAATGAAGACACATTCAGTAACAAAAAAGCCACTCACATGTCAAAGTAGCTCCCTCAGACCTAGCACTTATGTTATTAGAAGTACCACTGCAAAAGTAGCGTCCTTCATCACCAAACCTGACATTTCTAACAGTGAGGCAGCTAGTATTGCTGTTTTCTGCAGAAAGTGGAAGTGGACCCTTGTGTTTGTGCCAAACAATCTGTGGTTGTGGGTGTGAAATAATATTGCAGCAGAACATCACACTTTCATTAACTTCAGCCTTTTGATCTAAAGGATCCAGTGTAACCAAGGGAGGTATAGTTAACCCTCGGCGCGCATGTTATATCAGCACTGCTATTTCCTGCTGAGTTAGACACCAAACATGTGTATGTACATCTCTCCTGTCATCGCTCCTATAATGCTTAATGTGTTGTCTGTTTTGTTATTAATTCGAAGAATTTTTTTAGTAATAATGGTCTAGTGCGTGTTCTATTGTGCTAATGACACCCACGACTCGGAATCGCCTAGACAAGGTTCGGCTCCACAGTTTATACAATCGTAGGCCTATTCATGGCTCCGATATATATAGACGAACTATATTTAGCTGCCCACCGGGGGACAGAGATGGAAACCGCCGTGTTTGTCGCCATCCTCGGGGCTAATCTGCTATTGCTGCAGGATTTTGGCAGCTTCGCCACGGCTGCCAGTCCAGGGTTTCGCACGGCTGTGACCGCCAGGGGTCTAAACTATGGTGCGTTAGAAAAAAGGTGTGGCTCAATAGATAGCTATTGGCTGTTGTTATTTTCCAGTTTGTCAAGTGCTAACTCCTATCCTCAAGGAGAAACTTTCCTCTCTAACAATCCCTGACATCGAAGGTAATGCTGAAACTCCGATTGGGTCTGTCAGATATGAACTAAAAAAGTAAGTATACGTAGCTAGCTATGTATAGTCTGTCGGTAGGGATCAACTGTAATATACGGACCAATAGGGCAACGCGTTTTCTAGGGGCCTGTGGGGATCTAGGCTAGGTATAGGCTAGGGCTAGAGGATAGAGCTAGGGGCCAGGGCTAAGACCTAGCTATTGGCAGAAAGTAGCGCTGCATTCCTGCCCGTCCGGACGAGAACTCCTACGTAGTCGCCGGCTGCCAGGCACACTGCAGACAGCGCTGCCAGCAACAGCAGAATCTTCATATTTCTCTCACTTCGCTCGACGTGATCACAGAGACACGGAAACAACCGAACGGAGACACCAGCTCCCGTCCTGCGTTCCGTTGGCTTTGTGCATGGCCCCCTTAGCTCTACCACCTAGAACCAGCCCCTCGCCCTTGGCTATACCTAGCCTAGATCCCCACAGGCCCCTAGAACACGCGTAGAATGCGTTTCCCTACTTGGTCCGTATATTACAGTTGATCCTATGGGTTTAGGGTTAGGGCGGGGGGCTAGGAATTAATGAGCTAATTAGCTGGAAGACTTGGCGGTAGAAGGCTAGGGCATATCAATATTATATTTGAAGCGGGAAGTGGTGTCCACAGCATTTGCTGAAAGAGCTTGGACTAGTTACAGGTAGAAGATGCAGCAAAGCGGTCAGGTCAGGATATATAACGAGTATTTTAGGAAGGTCAAGAATTAATTGATGGATGGAAAGGGATGGATGGAAAGGGAAAACTGGTCCTTTCCCTACGATGATTTTTGTCAACCTGAGCGTGTAGCTGTGATACATACTCAGTAGCTGCAAAATGCTTCTCCTCTTCGTACTTGGCAGTCTCAGATTCCATCGCAACATCTGGTTGTGTCGTGTATTACACTTCTGTAAGCCATCATAAGGAGTGGCATGGTGACTTGAAAGATGAAAGAAAAGATTTTTGCCATTTGCTATAGGAGAACTGGTCTCGTGACCCAATCGTTTCCCTTCCTGCATTAGGCTGAGTGTCACACATGCAAACAGCAATGTGAGGTAGCAACAAAAAGCAAAGGCAATTAACGCAACTTCACCGAACTCACCTTTTGTATATGCACTGTTTGCACCATCCAATGCTCTGCAGGTGCGTGGTGTATGGTACCTGTTATGAATTTTATTATCCTAGTCATGGGGTTTGAAATATTTATGGTGTTCAAGCACGTGAATAATTAACCCTCGGCACGCATGCGCAACGAGAGTTTACTGTGTCTGTCTGTCCGTTACCCAAGATCTCACTTCACAAGCCATGAATCGCTCCACAAACAATACCAGGTATTCAGCGACGGGTATAGGTCGAAATATATGTAGGGTTTTCTCTGTCAAAACTGCTGCGTTCGAGAGTTACGGCATGAAACACGAGCGAAAAAGCCTATATGCTAATTAGAACAGGCTTACCTCGAGCGGGTTCGCTCTCTCTGAAGGCACAAGAAGTCACAACGAAGGTCGCGTATTGACTCCCGCATGGTATCTACTACTGTAGCTAGTCCGTGTCAGGCTCTCCGCGAGCTATATACTAGTGGGAGACCACGGAGTAAACCCATACTAATTAATAGCCCAGCCCATCAATTAGCGGTATCGTGCATGCGCAGTTCGCCGAGGGTTTGCACTTCAGTATTTCAATGTGCTATGTGATGTATTGCTCTTCTTGTAGTATTCAGTTATCGAACTTGGCACTTCCAACTTCATCGTTGACATCCACCAGCCAGGGTCTTGTCATCCAAGCTTCTGATATCTCCTTCTATATCCATGGTGATTGGCAGTACAGAGGAAATGACTGGTAAAATGTACTAGTAATTGCCTAGCGTTAAGCAAGGGGCAACTGTAATTCTGAGTTTCATCTTAGAAATAGTTGGTACAATGTAGGAATGCAATCTGTGTCTCAGTATAATGTTATGTTCTAGGAATGCAAATATTCTGCACACTACATGCCAATGTACGAGATTGAAACGCTTCGGAATGTTACTGCACACTGTGACGAGGTGGTAGAGTTTCAGATGACAACCCTAACTCAACTTATAGATTATGAAGAGTCGAATCGGAGAAGCTAGAAGGAATCTCTCCACCCAGTATGACTGTTAATGGTTCTGCACAGCGTCCTCCACGTACATACAGACTTCAAAAGATGTCAGCAGTTACCTTACTGTAGCACTTCTTCTGTCTGCGTCTTCATGCTTAAATCCTTCTATTACCTGGCATAGCAGGCCACAACTTCAACTTATTCTTCTCCCTACACCCTTGTAATGTATCAAGCCTGTACCACCTAGCTGGTATGTTACATGTCCTAGAGAAACATTACTGATTCTAGTACATTTGCCTGAGTCATAATATTGGCTTACTACCCGTACACTAGAGTTGACCTCACCACTAACAACGTCTGAGAACTTGAATTAATATCCTTTTACTAATGCCACTACACATTTGATTTAATCTTCCTTCTTCCATTTTCTTGATATATAACAAACCACTATTAGTATAAAAGTAACACCCAAGTAAGTGCATTATGATAGTCTAGGAAGGCATTAGCAAACACTATCATTAGCCTTTAGTTTCCTCCTCCTAAGCATGCGCACAGCTTCTCTTTAGACGCACAAAGTTGTGTTCGTACTAAACTCCAAGTCTTAAACCACAGCTAGAATCTGTGCCTCCTCCACCTCCCTCAACAGCTCATTCATAAGTCAGATTCGAACATACCAAACCCTAGGCAATAATGCCACACAGTATCATTGTGCTTTCTCTGTATTAAGAAGGAATGCATGTGTCCCCTTTCCCTCCTTTAGTCTACCCTGCACAAGTTCATTTAGTGTATTTTCGACACCACTCCTTTTACCCTGAAAACTGACTGACCCTCTTGCGCCCTTGTCCAGATGCTTATTATACTTTACAAAACAAATTCCTAATCACACTCATAGAGTTATGTCCCTATAATTACCAGGATCTCCACTGTGGTGGCACAAACGCCTCACGCCAAACTACAGCAAACAACTGTTGAAGCAACTTCCCTGACCCACATACGTATTTAGGAAGCTCCCCCACAAGCTTGTCACCACTGCCAGTCTTCAACTTCTTGACATCATATGCTATCTCCTTGTGCTTTCCAATAAATAACCTTCAAAATAAACGTTTACTCTTACCACTACCTCATTTCAGGCATCAAGCCTCTTTAAACTGTTGACCTCCCCATGCAAATCCCCATACTCTTTCCACAAGAACATAAGTAATTATGACCCTTGAGAGTTTTCTCCCTTTTCTGCTCTACACTTCTGCCTGAGGTAATCGTCCCACCCACTAATCTCTGAATATAACTTTTTTGGTGATCACGTTTCAATTAGGGTTAATAACTTTCTTGTCCACCTTCAGTCCCAAATGCTAATAATATCTCTGTAAGTACCAGTCACTGACTCCCTGGCACTATCCTTCTACACATGATCCTCCTCTGTTGTCTGTTTAGCTACCAACGAATGCTCCAGTACGATGAATTTTTGGCAGACTTGCGCATGCGCGTTGTCATGGTCCATGAGGGTCATTACATACAATTCAGATGACTAGGTGGGCTGAGTTTTCCGGAGTCTGAGTTTGCCATTTTAACTACCTTTTTCAAGCTTTTTCTCAAGATCTCTAATTATTTTTCCTCCCTATGCAGCTTAGATACTATAATCTTTTTATAAAGGTTTCTGACCTCCCCTAACTTATTTCTTGCCACTTTGTTCCCACTCATATAAAGCTGTTCAAAATACTTCGTTTCAACTAAAACCCTCATACTCCCTAAAGTTTGATCAACCTTACCTGTACATCAAAAGCTTCAGTATACTTTACTCTAACCAATCGTCTTTCTTGACGCCACTTTCTAATTCTGTGTTTCGGCTTTTAAGCCCAATTGCTTTCCAGCTGCATTGCTTGTTGAAGGTTGTGCCTACAATCCTGCTACCACAGCACCACACTATAAAATCACACCAAAATCAGTTGAGCCAATTATATAGCAAATCTCAAAACTCCCTCATCTATGTATAGCAAACAACTAACTGTATGCTACCACCAATTTCTGCCAAGACACTAGTCTACTGATACATATCACCAGCTCGACCTCACCCAACTCGCAATACCTATTTCTAGTGTGTAAGCACTATCAGTAACGTTCACACCACAACCTGGCAACAATAGAGAAAATGTGTCATGGGCTCGTTGTGTTTCAGCCCACTCACAATGTGCCCCTGATTTTCTTGTCTCCCTTTCTTGTTATTGTTCCCAAATGTTATTGATCCCATATTATTTCTGTGCTGTTGTAGGCCACATATTGAAGATCATGGTACCTGTGAGATCAAAATTTACGAAGTATTTCTCGAAGTAAGTATGTTAACTCTACATCATAATTTATTTTGTGCACTTATGTTTGTTACTTTTTTGCAGGTTCACATTGGGGTGGCAACAGATTCCTCTGGTCATGCGGTGGTTTCCACCAACTACTGTGACCTCCACATTGGCAAGCTGGACATACAGTTTGACGGTGGAGCCTCATGGCTGTATAACCTGTTTTCTAGCGATATTAGTGATGAACTCAAAGGCTCTATTGAGGAGCAGGTACGAACACTCTATTGCATAACCAACACTTAAGATCAACATTCGGGTGGTATTACCATCCGTGTTTCTCAAAACGTTGGGCTTACTGCACACTGTGACTCTTAAAGTGTGTGAGGATGGGTACAGACAGTAGGACACCTCAAGAGTTTTGGTTGCAATTATGAATAGATGCGCAGCGTTATACCTTTACTGTCTGCTAACGAGTAACAGCGTGAACATTTGGTGCGTGTAAACAGTTACAGATAGCTATTAACAGCGTGTCTGCTAAGACAAGTGCTACTTAGTCAAAAATCTGTCAGTTTGTCAGTTTATAAACGTAAAATATTGCCAAGTGCGGGGGGAGGGGGGGAGGTTGAGCAACGAAACAGATAGAGGAGTTGTAGAGAGGAATGTTGCTGGCGTATAGACCTGAGGACACAGTGTAGCAACCAATGAGGCGTTGCAGGTTGCCAACTGGTACAGCTTGCTCTTGCAATATCCACTAGAACCAAATAACAAAACCTCAAACAACTATACCAAATGGTCACTCTACTTGCTAATCCCATCATTAATTTTGTTCGTATATGTTGTATTGTGCAGATATGCAAAACAGCTTCTTTGGAGATAGATACAGAGGGTAACAAGGCACTAGCATCTATGCCAGGTTGATCAGCATTCTCTTTAAAACCATTCCATTACCACAATGTATTGCTTATACAGTCAACATTACCATCAGTTCAGTCGCAGAGGTGGACTTTGCAATGATTCAGGATCCCATTATCACTACGGGACACATAGAGACCAATCACAAGGTTATAATATTATATTTATAGCTAAAGATTGAAGGATAAGTATGATCTTGCTTGATCCAAGCCCCGAGTTCCAGTTCCAAACAGAAAGTGTTCTAGTATGGAATGCCCTTTCTGCCAAAAATAATGTGTCTTCTGCCGGCCAACAATTGATGATCTTTTACTCAATTTTTCATTCTCTGAATCGATCTTCTATTCTATTTTGTTAGAAATCATTCTCTAAATCAGAAGTTCCCCGACCCGATTTTGTAAACGACCTTTCGCTTGATTGTTCATCATCTGTCTTGCGTCTCCGCCCCATGCAAGGGGAAAAGATCGTCTGGTGACGGAAAACCTGCTAAAGCTATAGACGTCATATCCAAACCAATCTTCTTCCTAAAAAACTCAGCGGACTACGGATGCACATGACATTTTTTTGGTGTCCAAGATCCCGAAATCGAGGCCTCCAATCAGATGGCAGAACGGCCAATCAATGTCATTTGCATCTGTAGTGTGCAGACTTTGGTAGGCTGGTATCCAGATATGACGCCTTTAGGACTAGGTTGTACGTCAACTGATGCTTTGTGGCAATATATGCGAGGAGGCACGAGACTACGTGCGAGATAAAGTCAAGTGAAAGACTAAACAAGTTATAGGGGATATTTTCGATTTAGAGAACAATTTCTTAAGTAAAAGATCGATTTAGAGAGTGAATTTTGACAGGCTGAGAGAGCCCTTACGGAAACGGTGTTGCATAGAGCCTCTTATGAAGAGCAGCAGAAACGTTGACTATTCATGGATGCATGGTGAAGAAATGTTTCCAGCCAACTCGTATTGATTTCTGGCTGGACTTGATAGTGGTAGGCTGCATAGGCAATAACCACTGACTTCTATAAAAAGAAAGAGTATGTTATAATTATTATGTGTATTATGTGTGTTTCAGGGTGAATTTTTCAGAACTGATCATCCTGTAGAGGCACCTTTTACTCCCCCTTCTCTTCCTGCTGTCACTGAGAACACTAGCATGCTCTACATGTGGCTAACTGATTACATGGCAAACACGGCTGGGTTTGTCTACCTGGCTGCTGGGAAACTTTCCTATGTGGTCACTCCCAACATGGTGCCTCCCTCACTGCCCATCCAGCTCAACACGTCTTACTTCAAGGATATCATCCCGCAGGTTAACCATAGTCTATACACATCACCTCTGTAGATAGAAAGTAGGGCTTAAAGGAGGTTGGATATCTACGCTGCATTTTGTCATCTTTTCTCAAGTACTATTAGTTTGCGTACCCAGTGTCCAACTGGGTTGAATTTGAAGCAAGTGAACATACAGTTGCTGGCTTGCCCTATTAACGTTTTTTACCTGCACAACTAAATTACTATTGCTGCTATTATGTTTTCAAACCCTATTCTAGCTCTTTATATGAATAATGTAGGGTTTAAAATATGTATGCATGACTAGCTTACGTTTGCTATATACCAGTTATACAGCAAATTTCCTAACTGGGGAATGGAATTGAAGTTAAATGCCACAAAACCTCCTCTGCTTAAACTCTCTTCATCTGGTGCAAATTTTACTGTGTTTGGAGATGTCCTGGTTAATGTGCTGAAGCCAGGCAACAGTAGTGATAGTGAGTTGGCCTTTGTCCTTGGAGCGGTACGTTTATAATTGTCATTGGTTGAGAAATAGTTGTTAAGGCTTGTATTACAAAAGGTTGTTTTGGCTGAAGCTGAGTTCTACTTAAAAAACAACAGTGCCAATTTGTTTGTGTGTGGAAATACTACATTTATAAGGTGAGGTATATTTCCTTTATATAAATCCGACCAATAATATTACCTGAAAAGCCACCAATAGCCCCAACCCATGCTTTGTGTATACCTAGGGGCTCATATTCTTTATCTCTGAAACAAATGCACAGTGAGCTATGCAGAATGTAGAATTTTGTCTGTTCAAAACATTCACAGGGCAGTGATATTTTGCAGATGTGCGCTTTGAACAAGTAAAAGCACTGTTTGGTCGCTATAGTATGAGCCCAAGGGTTAAATAAGATTAGGAAAGTGACTAAAGATACGTTGCGATATTCTGGTGGAGTGGGGAGGTGTGTGCTTGTATGGTACCCAGGGGAGGCAAATAAAACAGTTGGATGTGCTGTGTTTTATGGTGTTAATGAATTACTTCCATGCAGAATAAATCTCTCACTTGTCAGTACTAACATTGGAGATTTTGATGTGAGTTGTGTCTTGATAAAGGTAATTGATAGTGTTGTCTTTGCCGCTTACTTTATAGGTTGATGTACTTCAAGAAGCAGCAAATCTACTCAGCATTCTTTACATCATACCATTAATAAACAGTAAACACAATCAAAATACATGACCATTCTTTCTTAACGTCTATGATAGTAGTAATAATGGATGTTGTACTCTGCTTTTGAGCTGTCTCATTTTTGGCTCATGTTTTCCTTCAGATTATGCCAATTCTGGTGTACCTTTTCCTGTCATTGATGATATGACTCTTACCAATGCTTCACTGAAACTTGGAGAGGTACTTACTTGCTTATATGCTTACTGCAGTTTTTGTCTCCAATGTGTGTGGGTTTACTCTTAAGACTATTATAATGTATATACCTATTATAATCAGGCAGAACAGGTTATAGCCCACAGGTTGTACTGCATGCTGAGACCCTTGAGTTGGAGTCAAGTAGGCATGAGTGCCGGAAGTCGATGCATGGGCAGTTAATGAATAGCATGATGATAACCTGTCTTGCTGAGATGCCTGGTAAACCAGCTGGTTAGTTTTCCTAATGGGGCACAAAAGTGCTAGCTAGCCTCTGCATGTGTTCCTCAGACCCTTTACGAGTGACAGTCTCTCCTGCAGAGCAGCTTATAACTATACATAAGTACTGTTCTGCGATTTTCTATTGAAAATTACCAAAAGATTAATTTCCGTTGTTTGGTGAACTACTTCAGATTTTCAATACTTGCCCATACGACAAGTTATTAACTGTCACTGTTATAGAAAGCATTTGTGGTATACTAACTAAAGCTAGCAGTTCGGACAAGCATGTTCTTACCTGTACAACCCCTCACTGATGGGTGAAAATCTTACCGTTGTGGAAATGAAGGTGGAGTGCGCTTTACTTTTAAGCACCTTGGGGGAGGGGGTTAGCTCTTCTGCCTTACCCGCCCTCACATATTGTTATGTTTTACCTGTATACCACTTCATTTTGCATTTGTTTTTAGTCACCAAAAATGCATTATTTACTGAGATTTAAAACCTTACTTTCAGGACTATGTTTTAGTTGCAGCGGACATTGTTTACTCATGAAAGTGCATTTTATATTGATGTGTTTTGTTTATATTTTGCTATATTATATCCTAACTGTATAAGAATATTATGTAAACAATAATAATGTGTAACAAAACTGCACTATACCATTATTCTTTTCTCTGGGCTGTAAGGCTCTGTAAAATACTGCAGTGGAAAAAACCCGGTACTTGGTCTGTGTCTGTCTGTCTGTCAGCAGCTAATGCTGTTCTCGCACTACAGGCTATGAGGCAGCCCATGAGCGATACCAACGTCTTCAGAACTATGCGAACCTGAAAAAATGGCTGCAATTTTCCTGAAACGACTGCGTTCGAGAGGTATGCCGTGAAAACAAGCGAAAAAGACAATATGCATAATCGCACCAGCTTACCTCGACCTATCCGCTTGCTCTTTGTACCTTGCGGAGGCACAACAAGTCACCACGAAGGTCCTCCTGCATCGGCATGCTGTCTTATAGTGTAACTAGCCCGTGTCAGACTCTCTGCGACCAACTAGCGTGGAGACCACAAGTAAGCGCGTACTCATAGCCCAGCCATCATTCATAGCCCATACCTTCTCATTCTTGGTGGACTGGTACATCTTAGAGCTTGTTGGGGTGGTGGTTTTTGGTTTAAATTGGCATTAGGCAGAGCGATGTCCTTTTACCATGGGTATTCTGATGATACTTGTTGGGATCACACATTATATTTGCAGGGACACTCTGCTATATAATTATTATGCAGATGATTTTGATGTCCTAGCTTCATGTGCATCTGCTCTTACACATATGCATTTGTTAAAATTGCATGTGAGCAGTTTCTCGCCTAGAAAGCCAAGGCATTTATGGACTTACCTATATAGAAATGGGCATGTGAGTTGTTGGTTGTGTATTTTAAGGCATTTTTGCAGCATTTTTGTACTCCGATCATGGGAGATTCACCTGTGCCATCCCTAAACTGTTGTCTTTCTTTTTCATTCCCATTCGATAATGTGAGGATGCTTATAATCGGCGTGGCATTGTACCAAAAAAAAATCTTAACTTTTATCAACTGCTAGAAGTACAGGACCAGCCCTGTTTTTTGGAGCTGGGTTTTGTACACCAATATTTTGCCTGTTTGTCTGCCTGGCAGTGAGTAGGCCTTGACGAAATTTGCTAGCATAATTTTGAGCAAAATAGGTAGCAAAGTAAATAAGCAATTCTGCTAGCAAAATGGGCTGTCAATTTTACCTATGAAGCAAAATAGGCAGCTTTGCTCTGTTCCTGCCAACCACCCACACATCGGCGCCTCTGCGCCATTTAGTGACAGGCGTTTCAATGTTTCGCATGGTAGAATACACGTTTTATTACAAATATACGGTCAGGGCACGTCCATTTTTTGGCTTTCTGAGGAGGAATTAACCGTCAGTCATGTTACAGTACAACAGTCGTTCCATTTTTCATAATGACTCAGTTGTTTAGTGTTTTAGTATGTACTCAGACATTTTTAATGGAAATTTCTACAAGAAAATTGCGTACAATAAAAAGCAAAAGAGGTACACTTATAAAGCAAAATAGGTAAAAATATTGAGCAAAAAAGAAAAGCAAAATAGCTAGGCAGAGAAAAAAACAAATTTTGTCAAGGCCTCCAGTGACCCTACTTGCATGTAGTATTTTAAATCTGTCTTAAAACATATATGCAGACAGGCAATAAAAGATAAATGCATTATGAAAGAGTGTTTAGTTGTCGTCCATCGCTCCAGGATTGACCTTTACAATGCTGACAGAGTGCACAACAATAGGCGCAAATGCACTTTCTTCTTCCTCCTCAATCTCATCATCAAATACATCACTCTCATTCAGCGTAGAGAACCTGAGGTCCATCTCCTTCCCCTCAAAGATGACTGGAAGCTTTGGGACTCTGTACAATGATGGACTCACGATTGAAGTGACTCTCTGCTTCAGACAAGGTTCTGCTGCCATAGAAGCTCAGAGATGCTGGGGGCAGAAGGAAAAACACAATGGACATTACAGTTATGGCACAATGTTTCTGTCGAGAAAATGGGAAGAAATTTAATTCAGTTGCATTTTTGGCGACTAAACACTTGTACTGTTTTATGGTGACAGTGGGTCATAGCCAGATTAAGAACAGTGCTTTCCCACATGTTTGTGTGTGACAGGGTTATTCGCATTGCATTCTTGTGTTGCAACTGAGAATGCAAGTTCACTATAGAAATATGCGGGTTTGTCAATAGCTATTTTGCATTTTTCACATACGTGGCCTTGAAGAACTTGTTGATGAAGTCCTTGATCTGCGCAATGTGCTTGAGAGTGTTCCAAACTATAAAAATATTTATAAGAGTGCTATATGTCGTAGCTATGCCATATTACTCTCCACCTTGTTAGAGATGGTTGAAGAATACAGGGAGTATCTCTTGTGTACTCTTGATGATACCTGACATGCAGAGTAAACATGAAGATTGGTTTTTACAGAGCAGAGATGTACACTCACAGTCTTGTTTCTTAAAACATGGAAGAAAAATATAAATACACCCTGTGTAAGAGATAAAACAATAATGCTCCGTCTCAATTCTGGAAATTAAACCAGCCTGTAAAGAGTTGAAGATGGTGAAGAGCCAGGCAAACACTGCAGTGTTCTCATTGACAGCCAGCAGTCCAAACACCCAGGTCATTCCCAGCAGTGGCAGGAGAATGACCGTGGCTTTCAAAATGTGCCTTTTGGTTACAGTATCAATATTATAATAGTTAATATGCCAACATTTGAATTTACGTACTTGACCACATCCATGTTGCTTCCTTTCATTTCCCCCTTCATTGTTTTCTTTGTGAGCTGTTGGTTGGTTCTGGCTTTGTAAATGCTCCAAAGAACCCAGCACCAGAAACACAACATTTATCTAAAGAGATATTTATATCACCATGTCTTGTGCTTTCATTGAGACCGCTTTATCTCCATGCTTCTATTACTTGACCTACGAGATAGGAACGACCTCTCTACAGGGGACAATATCTTTGGCCCCAGCAATGCCCCTTGTTCAGAGACTTGAAATCCTACAATTAACACGTACCAGTATGATGGCAAGCATTGGAGCAACAAAAGTCCATATAGCGTATGTTCCATCACCAGATGAGAGCCAGCAACTGCAATATACATGGTCACAATTGTGAAGTTGATCTTAGGGTCATTCATGTGCAGCAGTAACTCACTATTGGTATTTCCCAGTGATGTCTTTCACACCATACTCCTCATGCAGAGCTCCAAGTCCAATTATGACAAATGGCAGGGGGATACCTGTGATCATATACTAACCGTAACATTATAAGCAATATTAAAATGTTATCTTACCCCAACCAAGAAGGAGAAAGAACCACCACTTCTCTTTGAGTGTTGAGAAGACCTTTACCAGCATGAGGTAGAGCATGACTCCCTCACACAGCATCCACGAGAAGGCTGCCAGGAAGAAGTACTGGACCAGGGCTGTCACTGCCTTGCAGCCAATCTGATTTGAAGAAGGTACACAATAATACCTATAATTATGTTGTCGGTGCCTTTTTCCACAGACCTTATTGCTGGCAGCAAGCTCAACTCCAAGAGCAAACACCAGGTATCCAATCAGCAGTGATATGGCCAGGTTGAGGTGAATAAAGTTGTGGACAGCAGTAAACAACTTTTTCCTACATTAAAATTGCAACAAGAGTGCTGCAAGAATAATTATATATGTTCAAAGGTTTTTACCGAAGATTAATGAAGAATATGATGGTAAAGATGAGGCAAATAATGGATATGGACAGACCAATGTATGACACAACAGAGAGTGCTCTTGGATTTATCTGCAGTAATAATAAGCGTTGAAAAGTGGCTGCATATGTATATACATGTTCCTTACCTTGACTCCCCTGACATCCACCAGAACAGCAAAACTTGTGAGATGGGTACTGGAGCACTGGACAGTGGATTGGTCTCCACTGACTGTTATCTTCTCTGTAGTCACATTCTCCACTGACCAACCACTGTCTGCCAGACTAATGGAGAGAACAATAATGGGATAAGGGGCAGGGAGAGAAACATGTGACTCCACCAGGTACTAGCAATGCTAGTGCAGTTTTATATATACTTCTTAGAGTCATTTCCAAAGTTCCAAAACGCACACCGCACTACCAGTTCTTCAAAAATGTCTCTCTGGAGAGTTTGAGATAATACGTTTGTTGTGCATAAGGATGTCCACTGCATGATACTCACAATGGGCACAGCTGGGAATTGGAACTCGATTGCAACAGCTTGTTCTTCTGACTGACTGTTTGTGGTTATCTTTTCCCCATCAACTGCTATTTGAGTGGAAATAATCAGAGATGCTGGCTCTCCACCAACACTGTATGAATCAGATATGGGTCCAGTTTACAATTATCATAGAATCTATTATTATAGCCTCACAAACCCGTCTGATGCAGTACGAGGAAGAAATGTTTGAAGGGTGGCAAAGAGTACACTGGCTACTACCACTGACATTGAGTCTTGACCTGCATTAGGAATAGTCAAAAGTGGTGACACTCTAGATCTCTTTGAACCAAAAGGTGTTACCAGCAGCTCGCTCGGCCAGGAATGAAGAAGTAAGGGAGATGTTGGCTAGAGTGGCGTTAGGCAGAGCAAGGTTCTTGACCTCCTCTGGACTTGGGAATGAGTACCGAGTGCCCTCATTTACTACTATACTCTGGGCCCTTAGAGCTGAAAAATGGGAAACAAAGTAAATCATCTTACGCAGTGACCTTGTGGAAAGTTTAGGTATAAGTGAATAACTTCACCAACCCATGTTCTCTCCAGTGATATTTACAACTTGACCGGGCCTCATATCTTCATCTGTGGCCAGCACTCGAGCAGCAAACAGTCCAAAAGACTCGGCATTCATCAGAACAGCCTGACTGCCCACTCCAATCTCTTGTAGGCTGTCAAAACCTGCTTGGTTGCTCTCTGACAGAATGTTGTCCAGAGCTTCAAATATTACTGTAGCCTTTAAAAGACATAAAATTTGGTCAAAGGTACATCAGCGAATTAGCATATGAGCCCATTATCTACACATTTGTATATCGTAAATAGCACAAATGACAGTGTATGGTTAAAAACATTTGACTGTGACTTTTTTCTATTGAAACTTGGACACCATTAGGAAGACAAGGCTTACAAATAAGACTTGTAACACCCAACTAGCAGCAACACTGTGTCCATAGTCTCAATAGTCATGGAATAGCAACCCATGGCATCTAAAGGGTTTTAACTCACATCTGCTACTGTTATATTTGTCTCATTCTGTCCAGTTGTAGTGTCTAGATTACTGAAGAGAAGATCTAAAGTTTCTGTAATAATTTCATTGGTGGTGTTAAGATCACGTGGTAATTGAGGGGTTTCCTCATCTGCTGTGGCTTCTACTAATTCCCCAACAACTTCAAGCACTACCTCAGTATCCTCACTCTCGATAGCCTCTTCAGCCTGTGCAGATAATATCAGCCATTAATTGAAAGATATGGGGCATTCTCTCTCACTCTTTCCATGATGTCAACAAACACACGACTCTGACAGTTGGTCACGTTAGTCTCAGCCCAAATCAGAGTTGATTGACACAGTCTGGTAGCATTACCTGGGTAGAGCATTAGTGTCATTTTTCCATGCTCAAAATGAAGCTAAGTCAGATTACCAACAAAGTCAACACCACAGGATACAGTAACAGTAACTCCAGCTGGAGTGAAAGGCCACTGGATATTCCAGTCTTCATCCACCTCCTCAGGACAATCTGTTATCACAGACATACATAATACTGAATCTAAGGCCACTCAAGCAAAGTAAATACCTGTTTCATCTCCTACACAAGGTGAGGTGTCACTCTGATCATGATTTTGGGGCAAAGGGACAGGTGTCCTCACTGCAGTACGTCTGCTGGTCACCAGTGGAACAAGTTTTCAGAGCTCTGTCTGGGTAGCCATCTCCATCACTGTCCAACACACACAGTGACCCATCGCCAACATAGGGAGATGCACACTGTGTGTTGTTCAGGTGTTATAACTTGTCAAAAAAGATCTAGTTTATACCTGACACTCTTGAAATGGTTGGCAGTCACAGGGGACTAGCAATGGTGCCATTACAAAGCTCCTGAACCAAAATCATGTTAGGACACTGCTTAAAAGTAAGAGTGCCTTCATTATTGTCTGATCCCTCATTATCACCCATACTCATGACTTGAACGTGTTTGCATTCACAGAAATCTACAATGAGGAAAAGCAATATCTATTATGATCTACTGACTCTGTTAAAAACAGGCATGATTGGCTTATCTAATGTTCCCAGTACAATTAATTATTGGGTGGAAAAGAATATTATGTAGAATACACCGTTATAGAGATTAGCTAGAATACCTGATCTCATGACAGCCACAATATCAGGTTTACTGTCAATGACAACTCTACTGGAGTTTATGGTGAAGTTATGGTCACTGCAGAACACACTCTCCAGTTGTCCAGCCAGTGCCAGTTCTGCAGTGGTGTAGGACACCTTCCATACTAGCAGAGAGTACTGCTGGTCCAGAGTCTGAGGCAGAATTGTGAGAGATGAATTTGTTGGAGTTGATCCTCCACTAGCAACGGTAATCTCCCTCAACTGTACAGGAAGAGGAAGTAATTGCCTATGTAGTTGCTACATAGAGGTTAAGTCTGCATACAATGTACACTTAGAAGTTTTTGTAAACTCACCTCATCATTGAGCCTGGAAATGTTTATTTGACTACTGCTATCACCATCACTGGTGATGATGGCTTGTAGTGAGATGATGACGAGGACTTGTTGCTCACCAGAAGACAGAACACAACCCGAGAAATCAACTGATGTCCATCTCCTCTTTGACAAACACCTCCTGTACACCTTCACCACTGGACTAGAGAAGGAAAACAGAGTCAAATATTTGTGCAAGACACACAGTAAAGTAGCTTGTATATTTGAACTAACCACCAAGGGCATTGTTATGAACTTACAGAAATGTATTTGCTTGGAGTAGACAATTTGTGACTCACATCAATTCAGTCTGACATACCTAAATCTCTCATCAACAGCTCTGCATGGTTTAGCCACTGTGTCTCCATCAAAGGCAACGTCCCAAAAGACACCACCAGAAAAATCTTCCAGACACTCTGTAGACATACAAGATGAAGTAGTAATCAAAAAAGTGAAGTTTGAACTTTCTTACTCTCTAGGACTCGAACACTGGCAGTAATAGGGGAGATAACTCCATGTTCATCTCCCACAACACTGCAGGTATAGCTTCCATTGTGGTTGATGTTGGCCATGCGGATGGTCAAGGTGTGGCGGAGTGGCTCTCTGTACTGGACCACTGTGGTGGCCTCATTGGAAACAACTGTTTGTGGCAGTTCCCATTCCAGTCCTACAGTCTCTAGTGATGGTCTGCAGATCACATCTAGATTCTCTCCTTCCTTTACTTCGTAATAGTTTTGACCAGAGATGGTTAGACCTGAAGAGTTGATGCTATTAAGCTTAATAATCATGATTTTGATCTTATTATACCAGTTGCATTTGTGATGGTTGTAGTTGTAGGTGTGGGATTGAAGGGGCCAGCCCCAACACTGGTGAAAGCTCTCACAGTCAGGTTGTATGGAATGAAGGGCTGCAGTGGACCCACGGATGTGGATGTCTCTGTGGCAGTCACAGTCCCTGACTGGGGGAGGTAGTCAATACTGCTCTGAGAGTAGACCACTTCATAGGAAGTTATGACTCCATTCTGGTCTATCTCTGGAACTGGACCCCACTCCATGATCACAGAATTGGGAGATTGCGGAGTCACTTCATAATCTGTCGGATATCCTGAAGGAGCTATAGAATAGGATAGGTCACTAGTTGATAAAAGTAGGTCATATTTCAATTTACCATTCTCCAGTGTTGTCTGCTGCACTGGCAAAGTGTAGTCTCCAGGTCCAACGATAGTGTATGCCCTGACTCTCACAAAATACTTGACATACTCCTGTAGATCATCAAGTGCCTCCGTCATATTTACACCATCCACTGTGATCTTAATCTGTCTGGGTACAGCAGGAAATTTTGTTTGGTTATATTCTACTTCATATTTAGTGATGTTTCCATTCTGATGAACTGGTGGTACAGAGTCCCAGGAGACAGTGAGAGAGGTAGAGTTCAGAGGGAACACCCTTAGATTTTCTGGCGGTGCTTTTGGTCCTGAAGTAAGAGATATTTATAATGTATAATGGATTAATTAATAGAGCACAACTTACTGTCTTGTAGAGTGATGGACACAGTGTGATTGCTATATGGTCCATGACCCACAATAGTGTGAGCACGAACTTGGATAAGGTACTCTGTATACTCATGGAGACCAACCAGCACTATCGTCTGATTTGATGTTTGCTCGGTTTGTGTGCTGCTGTCTGAACTACTGTAGGCTGTATGGTTGTACTGCACCTCATACTTAGTGATGATTCCATTTCTCTGAACAGCTGGTACCTCATCCCACGTGACTAGTATTGATGAGGAGCTTACAGTTTGAGATGTCACATTCAGAGGTGGACCAGAGGGAGCTAAAGAAGATATTTAAATGTTTATCTAGCAGTATTTGGCAATGGACACAGTGTAACACAACTAATCATACCATTTTGTTGTGGTTCAGCTGTCTTTGGTTCACTGTAGGGTCCTGCACCAACCACGGTGTAGGCTCTCACGCGAATAATGTATGTTTGAAAATCCTCTAACATGGTCAGCTCATCCAGGAAAACATCAGAATCTAAAGTCACATTGTCACGGCTGGCTTGGTCCCCACTCTTCCAGTACTCTATCTCATACATGGTGATGATACCATTGCGATCCCTTTCTGGCACCTCATCCCATGCTACTTGTATGGTGGACTGTGATAATGAGACTGCAACAACTGTTGCTGGTGGTGAAGATGGCTCTGTGATAATAATATACATGAGCTAAGCAGCTTAACTCTAATGTTAACTATACTCACCGTCCTGCTCAGTTGTTGCCACTACTGATTCACTGAATGGTCCAGCACCAACTGAAGTGTATGCTGCTACTCTAATGGAGTACTGTGTGTGTTCTTCTAACCCAACTAGTTCTATCATCAGGTCAAAAATACACTGCTGCTGAATTGAATATACTGAACTGTATTCCAACTCAAAACAAGTTATGATTCCATTCTCGTCAGCGGGTGAGAGGGGCTCCCACGTTACCTTCAAGCTGGTTGAATTAAGAACCGTCACTTGGATGCCTACAGGAGGTGCTGAGGGTACTGGAGAGAAAGAATGTAACTGGTTAGAAATACACCCATGTGTACAGAACGTACCATCTTCAAAGGTAGTAACATTTAGCTCAGGAGTGAACGGACCAACGCCTGCTACTGTTGCAGCACTAATTTGAATAACGTATGTCGCAAACTCCTGGAGATCTCCAAGACTTGCAGTGAGGTTTGATCCTGGAACTGTCACATCTGTCCACAAGTTGTTATCAGCGTTTTGCTGACGAAACCTCAGGTGGTACTCAGTTATAATCCCATTTTGATTCATCTCGGGGACTTTCTCCCCACATTAGCCCAACAGTGGTAGATGTCACATTAGTCACAACCAGATTAACAGGAGCAGCACTGGGAACTAACACAAAGAAGAAAACGTCAACAGAGTCTTATGAACCTGAGTAGAGGACCTACCATCTTCAAGTGTAGTCTCAAAAACTGTTCCACTGTATTGTCCGCTTCCTACACTTGTTGCTGCTCTCACACGAACACGGTACTCTGTGAAAATCAGCAGTCCTTCTATTGTTACTGTGTTACTGTTGTGTTAGACGTAGAAACAGAAGAATACTCCATCTGTGATGAAGCCTGTCTGAATTGTACAATATACCAAATTAACCCATTCCAGTCCCTCTCTGGCAGTGCAGTCCAGACTACAACCAAAACTGTTGGAGAAACAGCAGTCACCCCCAGATTTGTTGGAGCAGCTGAAGGAACTTCGAAAAAAGTTCAATATAGAAACACGCTAGTATCTTATCTTATTTCACATACCATCTTCCAGTGTATCTGCAAGAAGAGCGTCACTAAATAGTCCAGCTCCTGCAATGTTGTGAGCTCTGACTGTGATGCTATAAGTCACATATTCCTCTAGCCCTTCTAGCAGAAGGGATCTGTTGACTGTTGCGACACTTCCATTTGCTATCCCTCCCTCAAAAGAATCAAGAGGGTTGTACAGTACTTCATAGTAGGTGATGCCTCCATTTCTCTCTCCAGTGGGTACCTCATCCCAGGAGACTATGATTTGAGTACTAGATAGCACTATAGCAGTTACATTATCCGGAGCAGCTGATGGAGCTGTATACATAGAGATTTATGTAGATAATACAGTTAACTGCGACATGCACTAAAGGTGAGTGGTTCGAACCAAGTAGGAGCACTTTACCTGCTTCTAAGGTTGTACCACGTAGGGTAGGCTTGGCTGACTGATGCCAATGCTGTTGAAGGCAGTGACAGTGAACACATACTCTGTGTCTGGCATCAGTCCAGTCACATTCAGGGAGTCTTCATCAGCTGTCACATTTCCCACTAGATCACCATATGTGTAGATGTAGAACCCAAGTATTGGGGCATTGTTGTGGTGTGGCTCCACCCACTGGAGGACAACACTCTCTGATGTTACATTCTGTACACCAGTGATGACTGGTCGATCTAGAAAAACAATAGTAAAAGCACTGGTGCTATTATATGTTTTTATCGGTATATGAGAAAACAGAGTTTTAAACCTATATATACCTTGGACTAGAACAAAAGATGGTGGGATGGACGTCACATTACCGGCTATGTTGATACCTCTGCATGCATACTTCCCACCATCGGACAGGTCTGTGCTATATTCAACAAGAACACTGCAAATAGTGAGCCTCTGATCAGGTATGTAGTATGAGGTGCTTATATTGATTAGAGAGTCATTGTGGTACCACTCTATCGAAGGAACAGGAAACCCCCTGGCACAGCAAGTCAAATGCAATTCTTCGGCTCTAGTGACATTGACATCCAGTGGTGGAACAATTACAATAACTGGAACAACTGCAATATAATTTTGTATTGTTTATAATATGTGAGATTAATAGATTAGCACTTACAGTAAACTGTAAGATTGGTTTCTTCATAGCCGGCAGAGTTTTCCACAAGGCAGCGGTAAACAGTATCATCAACTTCAGCAACCTCCACCACCAGTTCAGGCTCATTCTGGAGAATGGTGACTTGTCCATCAGTTGCAACAGCACTCCAGGTGAGCTGATTGTCTGGACCTCCCTCAGCAGTACAGGTTGCAGTGATAGTGTCATTCAGACTGACATTGACTACTGATGGAGTCATCTTCACACTTCCCACAGGAGAGACTGTTCACACGAAGGAAGGTAATTTGTGAGTTCTTATACATACTCTAGTAAACTTACTGGTAAGAGTTATGTTGGATGAAGTGCTGAAATATTCCTCTCGTACTGCAAAACTAGCTGTGCAACTGTACAAACCATAATCACTGTAGGTAATGCCAGCTATCTCAGTAGTACTATTCAGAGCTAAGCCGTGATCAGAGGTGTGGGTTTCATACACTCTGACTCTTGATTCGGGACCAACACCCAACCATGGCTCTGCTGATCCATAATCTTCATTCAGTGGCAAAAGCTCTCCTTCATACTCCCAGGTGATGTGTGGGAGTGGATTTCCCTGAACTATACATGTCAGGCTGACTGTGTCATTGACTCTGGTGAATACATCTGCTGGCTCTGATACAAACCTTGGTTCAAGGTAGAGTTGTGTGGTGTCAGTGCCATTACCAGCAGGATTATCAACCCTGCACTCATATGTCAATGCATCAGATATTGTGAAGTGTACAATTGTCAGCATCTGGGTATAACCAACAGAGATGTCATTGTAGAGCCAACTGAATATGTTGTCTGGACCTCCTCTTGCTGTACAGTTCAGTGTGACATAGTCCCCGTAGGCAAAAACTTTATTCTTTGGTGAAACCTCCACACTGCCTTCAGGAGAAACTGTACAAAAAGATACATGTGATGCATTCAACCACTACTGCACAGTTGTCTTACTGTAGAGTGTTGCTATTAGTGATGTAGTGCTGATGTTGATGGCTAAAGCAGAACAGTAATAGTATCCCTCGTCTCCAAACTCAGGAGTATAAATTGTCAAAATTGAGGTGTCTGCATAATCACTGACATAACTATTGGATGGAAGAGATTCATGATTCTGTCTAAACCACTGGATTGTTGGTTGGGGATAGCCAGTAGCAGAACAGTTAAAGCTGATGCTGTCGGAGCTATTTGATGCTGTTTGATGAATGGGGTTTGCTGTTATGACTGGACTAAAGAGAACAGTTGCACTGTTTGATCCATTCCCTGCTGCATTAGTTACAATGCATTCATAGTGTCCACCATCTTCACTTGGTGTGATGTCATTCAGTACCAGTGTCTGCAATGCTTCACTGACTATAGGAATATCACCATATCTCCACTGGAATATCACCCTAAACATAGCTAAGGATGTGCAGGTGAGTATTAGTCTAGTCTGGTTACCGTCAACTACAACATGATCAGGTGATACAGAGACACCGCCTTCAGGTGACACTGTGGGAAAAAGAATCCAAATTTACCATACTGAATTTCCTAGTAAAGGTAAATACACACTACATGTAGTCTATGGACCTAAATATATACATGGCAAGTTCAATACCTTACCTATTAGAGATGCTGCAGCTTGAATAGACTCTCCATTTGTAGTTGCAGTACATAAATAAGAGCCCTCATCTTCATAATCAATTGACTGAAGTGTCAGTGTTGTACTGTTGCTGGCAGTAACATTAGCAGGTAAATCTCCATTCAGCCTTTCCCACTGATAGGTTGGCTGAGGGTAGGCTACTGCTTCACACACCATTTGTACAGTCTCACCAACTCTTGTGAGTACATCCTGTGGTGACTGACTAAACTGTGGTGCAACATTGAGACTAATACTCTCGCTACTGTTACCAGCAGAGTTATTGACAACACATGTGTACACCCCACCATGAGTAGAAGCAGTGACATTGTAGATCACTAGGACATTGGTATTATTCTCTCCTGTTACCACTTGAGTAATGGCAGCTCCATCTTTGAACCACTGGAAAGAGTTTTCAGGTCCACCAAATGAGGTGCATGTTAGAGTTGCATTATCTTTTTCAGAATAGATGGGTTGACTTGAAGAAACCATTACCCCATCTTCCTGGAACACTGAAATGAAAACAAAACCTTTTATGTACAATCTTCCCCTAATCTCTTAAATTACCTGTCAAAACAGCAGAATACTGGTCACTACCTCTACCAGAAGCGATGCAGTTGTACTCACCATGGTGCTCTACCTCTACTAGGGATATAACCAGTCTGGAGAAACCACCTTCAACAGTCAGTATGGTGCTGGTATTAGGAAGACTACCATCTGTCTTAGACCAGGCGTAAGAAGGTGCAGGGAACCCCCTGGCACCACAGGTGAAGTTTGCAACTCCACCCACAAGAGCGTACGTATCAACTGGTGGAGCAAATATTGTAGGGAATGTGTATACATAAATCCCATTACTGTTCTGCCCTGCTGGATTGCTGACTTGGCAGTTGTAGAAACCACCACCTTCATCGGCTAGTGTGATAGTATGGATGAGAGTCATACTGGTCTCTCTCAGCTGTTGTCCATTTATCCACCAAAAGTAGGCATTGTTAGGTCCTCCATCATGCATGCAGCTCAAGTATAAAGTGTCTCCTTCTTCATATGCAAATTCAAGTGTCGTTGAGTTTATGTGGACATTATGTGGAAAAACTACACAGGAAAAGATATTATAGTCATTTAAAATACTCTCTTCTTTCTTACCAAACACAGTAGCACTTTCTGTTTCTATAGACACTCCGTTAGATGTTGCTTTGCAGTAATAGTCTCCCTCTGACCCCTCAATGTAGTCTGTGGCATTAAATGTTAACGTGGACGTATTCCATCCAGAGGCAAATGGAGTGTATAGTTGTTCCACATGGACCCAGGTATAGTCTGGGTATGGAAAGGCAACAGCTTCACAATTTAGCATTCCATTTGCAAATGGAGTGACAAAGGTATCAGAAGGTTGTAAAGTGATGGTTGGATACACATTGACAACAGTAAAATCGCTACCATTACCAGCTGCATTAGTAACAGTACAAGTATAATCGCCACCAATTTCACTTGCATCAATGAATGGTAGTACCAAGTGATCGTTTCGGTTATCTAAAAGGCTTCCATTGAAGGTCCACTGGTAAGTGTTCCCAGGTCCTCCATCTGCCAGACATGTCAGGTTGACTGAATCTCCATTGTTGAATACAACATTGTGAGGTGACACTCTGACACTGCCATAGGGTGATACTGCATTGGGTGTTGGAATTAATTGCATAAGGAGTGAAAATGGTTAAATCAAATAAACCAAGGTAACTCACTAGTAAGAATGGCCGTGGAAGATATGATGGAGAGACTGTTTGAAGTGCCGACACAGTAGTATTCTCCTTCATCACCAAAACTGACTTGGTTCACGAGAAGACAGCTACTGTTACTGATCTCAACATTGGCTGGTAGTGAGCCATTCACCTTGAACCACTCATACAGTGGTGGTGGGTAGGAGCTAATGCTGCAGCAGAATTCCACACTCTGGTTGACAAGAGTAAAGATGCTTGAAGGTTGTGATGAAAATGTGGGTGATATAATATTCAGAATGATATCATCACGATCCTCCCCAGCATGGTTAGTAACTATACACGTGAACACCTCTCCAACTACTAGCCTCTCAATGTTAATTGCATCAGCTGCTTCTTGTGCTAGAAGTGTACCATTTCTCAGCCACTGTATCCAATTTCCAGGTCCTCCAAGGTGTATGCATGTCAACACTGCAGCATCTTCAACATCATACACCTCTTTATCCGACACTATTGAAACACTCCCTTCTGGTGATACTGTGAAAAGATTTAAAAGTACAAGACACCTACAAGGACATAGCTACTCCCACTTCATGATGTATGTTTGTTATTCCACTGCCCAATAAATTGCAAAAGCACTGAAACCAAACAGTAACCATGACGGGTGCTTAAGCCAGTGTAAAATGCTACAGGTCATTCGAAATACTCACAGGGTACACCTTTTGTTCATGCCAGGCCTAATGCTGAAAGTGGAAAATCTTTTCTTTAAAATGAAGGGCGGTATATAAAGGGATGGGTTGAAGCAAAAGGAAGGAACAAGGGTTAGTTAATAAGCAAAGAGATACACAAAGCTGCATGACGTACATAACAGACACAGCTGTCGGTGCCAGCACTTACGTGCGTACATTACGCACATTATCAAACGACAAGTGAAACAGAGGGAACTCACTAGTAAGAACAGCTGGTTGGGATGTGATGGAGAGACTGTTTGAAGTGCCGATACAGTAGTATTCTCCCTCATCACCAAAACTGACTTGGTTCATGAGAAGACAGCTACCTTTCTCAATATTGGCTGGTAGTGAGCCATTCACCTTGAACCACTCATACAGTGGTGGTGGGTAGGAGCTAATGCTGCAGCAGAATTCCACACTCTGGTTGACAACAGTAAAAATGCTTGCAGGGTTTGAAATAATTATTGGAGCTACGTTTATAACAATACCATTACGACCTTCACCGGCGAGATTAGTTACTATACATGTAAACATTTCTCCAATTACCACTTCCTCAATAGCAAATGTATTGTTTGCGTTCCCTGCTTCAAGTGAACCATTTCTCAGCCACTGTACAATATTTCCAGGTCCCCCAAGGTGTGTGCATGTCAACACTGCACTATCTTCATTATCATATATCTCCTTGTCAGATGTGACAGAAACACTTCCTTCTGGAGACACTGTGGAATAATTGCCAATGTTTGTGTGGTAAGTGAGGAAATCGGAAGCTTTACACAGGTGATGATTTTCATGGCAAGGTTTATACCTACATTTTGTGTTTCATGCTAGGTCACCCTTTACCTAAGCTGGTGTTAGCTATGCAACAACTCTGATGATGAATTTTCATTTGCACTCTCTTATGAGCATTACACTGGCATGGTAGGTCTCCTTATGTGAGAATTGATGTATGACATAATATAATATACGTGTGAAATATCATCAAAGCAGGCAGGCTATCGAAAGCAAGAGTAATTCGACTCACTGACTGTCCGTCATGCAATCCACTGAAAGACACACACATTTAGACACGTGTGAAACTTGATACTATAATGCTACACCTTCTATACTATGAAGCTATTACAAAGTGTAGTATAAACATACTGGGCATGGAATATGGGTGTGTAACTACTTAATAACTACTTTCAATATGTTACTAATTGATGGTAATTTGTATGACATAACATATTAGAGGAATGCAACGCATTATTTGGTGACATAACTATTATAAACCTGTGCATGTTAAGAGTAATTGTTTCCATCTTCAGGTTCTGGAAAGTTGATATAAGGCAGCTGTTTAGGTTATGGGTAAATAGCAATGCCCCTAGTGGAACACAAGTTATTGCAAATAATAGAACTAGGGCCGTAACATGGAGCAGAATTGAGAAACACGTTTAGATGCTTGCCATTTACCTGTGACATTGATGCTCTTGTAAATGACTCCAAACTCATTGTAGACAAAACACCAGTAGACAAAGTCTTCATCACCGAAAGTGACAGGATCAAAAATAAGAGTTTCATTTTCTGTCAGAATCTCATGCACAAAAGAGTCACCACTCCCTGAACCACTGAAAAAACTATCAGAACTGCTTCCACCACTTCCTAAATATGCTTCAGCTGCTGAATCACTTTCTGTGACCATTGCTATCCCTGTAGCCACCCACAAGTAGTCAGGGTGAAGGAAATGCTCCAGCCCCAACAGGTGACACTTTGAAAACTCCCATTAGTAGCAAATACATCAAGTGGCTCATTTATAAAGTATGGAGCAATATACACCACTACTGAGGAATTGGCACTGCCTCCTTCATTTTCAGCGATACATGTGTATGTACCACCATCAGTATCACTGAAAATAGTAACAACGAAACCTTGAGCTACCCAGAATAGACCAGATACTCCTTCCTCTTTGCTGTGGAGAACATTGTGAACTTCACCAGATGGGGCTACCCATGACACATTGAGTGGAGTATCTCCAGTTCCACTACATCTGAGTGTCACATTTTGCCCTCTGTTCGCTACCATATCCTCTGATGTTTCAGTTATGTTTGGAGTCACTACAGATCAATAAAACATTATGTCTCCATAGAGGGTCAAAACATAGCTATAATACAGGAGACAGGGCACTTAACTTACAGAGGCATTGTGGCTCACTGCCAGACCACAAAGAAGTAATGAGACAGGCCCTCATGCTTTCTCCGACAAGAGCATATCCATCAAAACAGGAATATCTTGCGAAAGATGCATATGTAGTGTTAGGTGCATCCACTTTTCCATTCAGTGGATCTTCTAGTGAACCACAGTCAATAGCTGGAAAACAGGAGAGATATTTTGCAATTAGGCAGCAACTCTAACTGACGGTTACTTGCTTTACCTGAACTACTGATGCCATAGACTACGTTCACCCAGGGGCTGTCAGGAATGTTCAGACAGGCAATGGACTGCGCATTCCCACTGAGTGAGCTCTCATGATTGGCAAACATACCATCACCAGTGGCAAACCCAATTGTAACATTGCCAGAAAATCCTAAATCTCCACAAAAGTAGGTGTATATGGCATAGGACCTTTCAAAATCTGTTACAAGTACCCCTTGAAAGGTGTTTGTCTGCAACAAAGTAAACATAAATCTGCTTTCAGCCTTTCACCTTAAAGAATACTTACAAAATTGGCATAATAGTAGTCTTCCCACGAGGCAACGATCAGCCATTCTCCTGAAAAATTTGCATGCTGATATTGGTTGACCAATGTATTAATTTGAGAGAAAATGGAGCTCGACGTATTAGTAGTGTGGATCTCATAGTCGATTTGCCTTTGACCTCCTTGATTGGCAGTAGTAAAGAACGGAGCCACTAGCGATAAGTTGGTGGCATCGTCAAAGATTAGTGGCTCCTGGGGAGCGTAATAGTCAAATGCAAAGTAACCATTACCCCCAACCTGCACATGAAATTTTCATCAATGATGGGTCACATAAAAGTAATAATCTGACATACGTATGTATAGTTTTCTTGATGGAAACCAAAGGGAAATGTCACATTGATTGGGCCAGAGAGACTGTCATTATTAAAAGAAACCGGATAAGTATCAACTCCTTCTGTTACACCAAGCATTATGTAGGCAGTTGTAACTAAAGTGAAAAAAAAGATTCATTACAATCATGTCCTTGTACCCAGTGAAAGACCTACCAATCAGAAGAGCAGAGACTTGAACACTATCACCACTAACAGCAATGCAGTTGTATTCTCCATAATCCTCCAACATTACTGAGAAAATTGTCAGTGTTGATGAACCATCTCCATTTGTTACAATGTAGCTATTTCTGGGAAGATTGTTATCTGTCTTTGTCCATAAGTAGTAAGGGGTAGGCAAGCCTCCAGCCTTACAGGTGAATCTGACTACCCCACCAACAGAAGAATAAGTGTCTTTTGGTGAAACTTCAATGACTGGTTTTGTGTCAATAACCACAGAGCCACTGTCATTTCCAGCTGGATTAGTGACATTACATGTGTAATGACCTCTGTCTTCATTAGATAATGTAATAGTCAGATATGGACCATCTTCGGTTTCCACTTCCTGATCATTGAACAGCCACTGGTATTCATTGTCAGGTCCTCCACCATGTGTGCAGTTTAGGTAAAGAACATCACCTTCTTCATACACTTCCTTTTCAGGACTTACAGTCACTTTAACTAGAAATGGAATTACTGTAGAAAAGTGATAAAAAATATAAATCAATAAAGAAAATGCAACTTACTATACACAGTTGCTGTTTGAGATACTACTGTCACATTATTTGATGTTGCAGAGCAGTAATAGTCTCCATAAGGTGGTTGATAGCCAATATAGTAATAATCACAATAATAATGATAATAGTAATAATCCTGATCTCCAAACACACAAACTTGGTAGTAATGAAAATAATAGTATACATCAATATGAAGTTCGTTAAGATAAAAATAAACATAGGCATATGGGATATCGCCACTACCCTTAAACCATTGAAACTCAGGATTGGGAAATGAAGTAGCTTCACACTGAAGATGAGTGTAAGTACGAACATTTGTCACTAAGATATCAGAGGGATGATACGTAATAACGGGGTATACAAAAACAGCGGTAGAATCAGAACCATTGCCAGCTTGGTTAAAAACTATACAGGTAAAATATCCACCATCTTCAGTTGCATTAACGAAAGATAGCATTAACTGATTATTCTGCTCATTCTCTAGTAGACTTCCATTGAAGGTCCACTGGTAAGTGTTCCCAGGTCCTCCATCTGCCAGACATGTTAGGTTGACTGAGTCTCCATTGTTGAATACAGCATTGTAAGGTGACACTTTGACACTGCCATAGGGTGATACTGTAGAATGTTAAGATTTATTTGGGTAACATGGTGAATATTTTCTCTCTTCATTATTTTTAAACAGAGAGAGTGAAAAAGTTAACTCACACAACAGTATCTTATCTATGTACTTACCAACAATATTCATAGAGGCATAAACCTCCCCATAGTCATTGGAAGCAATACACCAGTACAAAAATCTTTCATCGCCAAATAGCACTGGATCAAATAAAAGGCTTTCATTGTCAGTTAGGTATTCATCGTAATACACAAGTGGTCCAGGACTCTCAAAACCACTTCCGTCATCTCCTGAGCCACCATCCGAACCACTTCTGAAGTTTGTTGTGTTTGTAGCCACCCACCTAAGGTCAAGTGGAGGAAAGGCTTCAGCCCTGCAGGTGGCAATCTCAATACTTCCATTAGTTGTGAATATATCACCTGGTTCAGTGGTAAAGTATGGAGTTACATATACCACTACTGAGGCATTCACACTGCCTCCTTCATTTTCAGCTTTGCATGTGTAACTACCTCCATCAGCAGCACTGGTAACTGTGATAGCGAATGTCTCAGCCACCCATGAGGAACACGGCATAAATCTCTGCCTTTCGTCATTTTCAATAATGCTTGTGTGTACCTGACCAGATGGAGTCAGCCATGATACATTTAATGGAACGATCTCCACTTCCACCACATCTCAGTGTTATAGTCTGTCCCCTACTCGCCACTATATCACCCGATATATCGGTAACATGTGGTACCACTGCATCATAGTATAGAGCTAAATATAAACTTCACCAACAGTTACCACCAACTTACAAGTGCAGTGTGGTGTACTACCAGACCAGACTCCTGTACTGAGACATGTTCTGTTATGTTCTCCAATAAGAGTGTATCCTTCGTGACAGTTATAAGAGGCAATAGAACTGAATGTCGTTGTAGACACACTAATGACTCCATTTGCTGTACTTTCTGGGTTCACCACACTCGATTGCTGAGCAATAGTAAAAAAAATCGACAATGCAAGCTGCAGTGCAACCAAGTGAGAGAAATATGCATACCTGAGCCACTGATGCCATAAACTACATTCACCCACGGACTGTTGGGGAACATTGAGACAGGCAATAGACTGGGCGGTTCCACTAAGGGAGGCCTCATGAACAACAGATATCCCATCACCAGTAACAAATCCAATGAAATCTCCAGAAAAATCTAGGTCTCCACAGTAGTAGGTAAACACAGCATATGACCTCTCAAAATCTGTGACCAATATCCCCTGAAATGTGTTTGTCTAAAGAGGGAAGTAGAGTTACTCTGCTGCACATCTTAAAATGATAAACTTACGGAATTTTCGACATAGGGATAGGGTCTAATGTCTTCCCACATAGAGGCTAGAAGCCATTGTCCCTCAAAGTTTGTTTGTAGATGTTGGTTAACGAGGTCATTGACTTTCGAAATGAGTGACATAGAGGTATTGCTATTGTGAACCTCGAAGTAAACCTGACCTCCACAAGACAGACAAATGGCACTTAAGAAGTATGGAGCAACTAGAGAAAGACCCTCCATCAAATGAAAAAGCACCATCCACTCCAACCTGTATACGCAAAGGAAGATTAAGTGTTACACTCTACGTATTACACTGTACCTGAACGGTGGATTGTACTTGTAATCCCAATGGAAATTCCACACTAATTAGCTGAGAGACATACTCATCAAATGAAACTGAGTTTGTATCAACACCTTCTGTTACACCAAGGGTAATGTACGGCAACACTGTAGATACTACAATGGAGAGACCAGATAGTACTAGGATGAAAAGAGAGTTATAACATTGGAAAATAACTGTATCCACAAAATTATTACGTATTTTTTAATACTACAGTTGGACTGTACTAAACTCTTTTTGAACATACGTCTGCATTCCACGTCAGGATTGGACCAGGTGCCACTCCCTGTGCAGGTTCTTGTTTCCCCTCCAATGAGAGCGTATCCTTCATCACAGGTGATGTTAGCCTCAGAGGAGAAGGTCGTGAGGGAGACTGACACTGACCCATTCCTTGGAGCCTCTGGATAGCCACAATCTACAACTAAAAGAAGTCGATGAACTACTGCTAAAAAAATCCATGAAATGTGGTAACTACTTACTTGAGCAATGTGGTCGACTACCCGACCATTCGCTTGTGTTTAAACAGATCCGTGAGCTGTCTCCATTCAGGTTGTAACCAGCATTGCAAGAGTAGTTGGCTACAGACTCGTAGGTAGTCACAGAGAATGTTACTGTTCCATTTGGGGGGTCCTCCAGACCACCACAGTCTACAACTGTTTGAGACATGGGAGAATGAAAATGATGGATCGGCATAGTTAAACACATTCATGTTAAAGCATGTAAGACATGCAGCCAGGTGTCTCACTAGCACATTCTGGGCCGGGGTTGGACCAGATTCCACTGGTGAGACATAATTATAACAAGTGGAAAAATCATTTCTTCAAAATGAAAGGGGGATATAGGGATGGCTTGAAGCACCAAAAAGGAAGAAACAAGGGGTCATTACACAGCAAAGATGCACAAAGCTACATGACACCATCCCTATATCTTGTCTCATATT